AGAGAGAGAGAGAGAGAGAGAGAGAGAGAGAGAGAAAGAAAGAGAGAGAGAAAGAAAGAAAGAGAGAAAGAAAGAAAGAAAGAAAGAAAGAAAGAAAGAAAGAAAGAAAGAAAGAAAGAAAGAAAGAAAGGAAAGAAAGAAAACAAAACAAAACACTTGGAAGGCACGTCATCCTTGACCCTTTAAGGAACCGGTTCCAAGAATTGAAAAGCTGCTGACAACGCAGGCATCATCTTTTCTCCCTTCTCCTTGCCTCCTCTCCTTCCCTCCCTCCCTCTCCCCAGACAGTTCACGGTACACCCTCCGCTCAAGCCCGCTGGAATAGCTGAGTCCCAATTATCAACTCCTGGGAGAAGTGATCTGATTGGTGCTGTGGACTCCGATGTCCCCCTCTGGGCCAGTCAGCTGGGGAAGGGTGTGGGTGGGGGGGACAACAGGTCAGCAAGGGTAGCTGCTGAGCCCACTCTGAATGGGTCTCAGAAGACGGGGCTGGCTTGGAGCTACAGAGACCCCCGCAGAGTGCCTGCTGCTTGTTTTCTGTGTCGGCTTGTGTTTCTGAGTTCTCCCTGAGGAGGCTTTGCAGTCCTCGCACCATCTCCATGCACATGCGGTGGCGTCTTGTTGGCTAGGCCACAGTAACAGATAGACACCAAATTGTGGTTAAACGCAGTAGACGTGTCTCTTGCTCTCATAACAGTCTTTGGAGGGGTTGAGGTCAGCAGGGCCACTGTCCTTGGCATTGCATTCAGGGACGCGGGCTTCTGCTGTTTTGAGGTTCTGTGGTTCCCTGAGGCTTACCTCCTGCTGCCTGAGCCCCTGAAAGGGGCAGGAGCCTGGAGGAGCTACTACCTGCAGGCTTTCAGGAGCCGGCGTGGGAGGGCTCACGTCCCACTGGAAAGAACCTAGTGTCAGGGCCACGCCTGCCTGCAGGGAAGACTGGGACAGGGAGTCCAGTCTATGCCAGATCAGAGGAAAATGCGTTTTAGTGTTCAGCCAGGGGTCTCTGCCATTCAGGAGAGCAAACGCAGTCCTGGTTTTGCCAGATGTGGGTTACATCCTTTTTAAAATTTGCCATTCCCCCTCCAGTTCTCTCCTTTCATTCCCACTTGAACGTGGGCCAAAAGGGATTTCACTGTGGACCAGTCCATCACAGTCAGCAGTGATCTCCATGTTGCTAAGGACAGTGGGTGGTACTCAGTCCTCAACTCGCTCGACTCGGTGGTGGCATCTGTCACAGCTTGTCACTTCCTCCTCCTGGAAACATCGTCTTCACTTGGGTTCTCGTCATCTTGCTCCTGGTTTCCTATTTTCCTGGCTGTTTCTTTCCATCCTCTGCTAGTTTTCCCGTCGCCCCAGCTTCTGCACCTCACCACAGCCTGCTTTCCCCACAGTCATCCCCATCTCTTTTTAAAAATTTGTTATTTATTTATTATTTCTTTTTTTTAAGTTACAGTTGATATTTAATATCATGTTAATTTCAGGTGTATAACATTGTGGTTAGACATACCTTACAAGTTGATGCCCCCTAATAAGTCCAGTGCCCACCTGGCATCACACAGGTTATTACAATATTATTGACTGGACTGGACTCTACATCCCTGTGACTGGTTTGTAACTGCCAATTTGTACTTAATCCCTTCACCTTTTCACCCCTCCCTCAAAACCCCCTCCCACCTGGCAACCATCGGTTTGTTCTCTGTATCTATGAGGTTGTTTCTGTTTTGTTTGTTCATTTATTTTGTTTTCTTCGATTTGACATAAAAGTGAACTCACATATATTTGTCTTTCTCTGTCTGACCTGACCCATTTCACTGAGCATAACATCCTCTAGGTCCATCCATGTCTTTGCACACAAAAGGTGTTCAGTAAACATGTATTGAACAAGTGAGTGGCTGCTAAATGAAAAAGAAGTATCATTTTCATTGGTATGCCTTTGATTCTCAGTGAGGGGTATCATTTCACGTTTATTGGCAATTTGTGTAACTTCTCTTCTGAAGTTCTTATGTTCATTAACCATTTTGTGTGGGGTTTGGGATTGAGTGCAGTTTGGCTATGGAGAGCTTGGGGTGCTAGTGGGCAGCCACATAGACTGAAACTGTTTGTTGCCTGAGACTGTGGGTTTGTAAACCACTCCAGGGCCCAGCTATAGTATTTTAAATGCACTGATGAGATGACAAGAAAGTAAATAACTATCGGAGGTCAAAAATGAAGCAAAAGCCGCCGAACCGGTTTGGCTCAGTGGATAGAGCGTCGGACTGCGGACTGAAGGGTCCCGGGTTTGATTCCCGTCAAGGGCATGTATCTTAGTTGCGGGCACATCCCCACTGGGAGGCGTGCAGGAGGCAACTGATCGATCTCTCTCATCGATGTTTCTAACTCTATCCCTCTCCCTTCTCTGTAAAAAATCAATAAAATATATATTAAGAAAAAAAAATGAAGCAAAAGTCAAATTCCAGAGTAAGCAGTCGGTCGCTGATTTCTGCACGGTGCTCCAGGCCTGTGGGGTTACAGCTTTTCCCCTTCAGGTGCATCTCAGTCCTGTCAGCACTTTTTAAAATTAATATTTCTGTTTGTTTGTTCCTCAGGCTTATGGTGAGGGCTCTGGTGCTGACTGTAGACGTCACGTCCAAAAATTGAACCTGCTGCAGGGCCAGCTGTCAGAGGCGTCACCCAGGTAGGTCGCCTGTTTCCCCTAGAGTGGCTCGCGGAGATCTGTGTGGAGAAACCCCTTAGCTTTCAGGTCTTCCGATGCCGCAGTTAGACTAACACCTGCACCATCTTCCCACTGAAAGTAATTTAGTTTGGAAACCAGGCGCTTTCAGAATGGCATGGCCTAACATGCTGGTGCAGGCTTAAATGCCAGCTGCCTTTTTTTCTTTAATCCTCACCCAAGGATATGCTTTTATTGGTTTTAGAGAGAGAGAGAAATATTAATGTGAGAGAGAAACTGATTGGTTGCCTCACATACACACCCCGACCGGGATCGAACCTGCAACCTGGGTATGTGCCCTGACTACGAATCGAACCCACAACCTTTTGGTGTACGGAATGACACTCCAACCAACTGAGCCACCTGGTGGGGCCAAGTTATAATATTTTAAATGCACTGATGAGATGACAAGAAAGTAAATAACTATCAGAGGTCAAAAATGAACCCAAAGCCAAGTTCCAGAGAATAAGCCCCTGGCTGCGAGGCAATGGGAGTCCGCTGCCTGGAGCGCCCATGAGAGGCTGGGCCGTCCGGGAGACAGACAGCCTGCGGCTCACTCTGGGGGGGGTCCGTAGGGCACCAGCACATAAAGCTGCATCCCCCAAACCTGCACCCTCAGCACCCAAATGACCAGAAATGCGCCCCTTGCAGCGGAAGCCCGCCCGTGTTGGCCTTGACCCCGGCTGAAGAAGGGACGTGTTGCTCCAGGATTTTATAAGCTCGCGGAAGCTGCCACGTGTCTTTTCAGCCTTTTCTGCGCCTTTTCCACGTGTGAAAAGCTTCAAGCTGAGATTTTATTTTCAAACTGTCACAGGAAGCAGAGGTAAATGCAGCTCCCCTCTGGAGCAACACATTTCAACCCAGGCCCGAGAGAATCCCACAGATAGTGTTCCAAGGAGTATGTACTCACAGTCATTAAACTCAAGGAAGCATGTCCTATGAGCAAAAAAAAGCAGAGCAACAGACAGACTTCAGAATTCATGATATTGTAAGTTTACTATATTTCATGAAATAAAAGAGAAGGCTGGTAGTAGGAGCAAGAGCCTTTAAGAATAATCGAGTTGTTTTGAAAAGAGAACCAAAAATAGTTTGTAAAAATGGAAAGTACAGTCATTGAAACTAAAATTGTAGTCAAAAGGTTAAATAGATTAAGTGCAGCTGAAGACAGAATCGGTGAAATGGAAGATAAACCCGAAGAAATTCTTTACAAAGATAAAAAGGTGAAAAACATGAGTTGAGAGGCACAGAGGACACAGAGAAGAGTTATTGCAAGAATAAAAAAATTGGGCAAAGGCAATATTTGCAGAGAAAAGAACCAAGCATTTTCTAGAGTCAAAGGTATTCATTCTTAGATCCAAGAAACACAATAAATCCCAAACTGGACAAAAGACATGGTGGATGTAGGAAATGCTAATGGACCTACACACAGCTACTAGAGCTAAGAAGTTAATTTAGCAAAATCACCAGGACACAGCATCAACATACAAGATTTAATTTTATATAAATGCAGTAAACCGTTGGAAAATTATTGTTAAAATCAAATATCATTTATAATAGCATCAACATGAAATACTTAGGTATAGATAATAAAAAATGTAAGATTTGTTCAGTAAAAACTATAAAACATTGCTAAGAGAAATTAAAGAGGACCTAAATTAATGAAAGATATAACATGTTCATGGATTGGAAAATTCAATATCATTAAGATGACAGTTCATCCTAAATTGATCTTAGAGTCAACCTAATCCCAATAAAAATTCCAGCAGCCTTTTTTTGTAGAAATTGACAAACTGATCCTAAAATGTATATATATCTGCAAAGGACCTAGAATTGCTGGGACAGATTTGATAAGAAGAAAGTTGGAATACTTCTGCCACCTGATTTCAAGATTTACTATAACAGGAATCAAGATATTGGTGAAGGGCTAGACGTACAGATACATCAGAAGGTGAATGAATGAACAGATTGTAGTGTATTCATACAACAGAATACTGCTCAGCAACAACAACAATGTGACAAATCCCAAAACCACTGGTAAGTGAAAGGAGCCAGACACAAAGGACCACGTACTGTAGGGTCAGCCATTTTCTGAGGAGGGGATTGCCTGCAGAGTCAGCAGGGAACTTTTTTGGGTGATGAAAATGTTCTTCTTATTTATTTTTTAATATATTTTTATTGATTTCAGAGAGGAAAGGAGAGGGAGAGAGAGAGAGAAACATCAATGATGAGAGAAAACCATCGATTGGCTGCCACCTGCACACCCCACAATAGGAATTGATCCTGCAACCTGGGCATGTGCCCTTGACTGGAATTGAACCCGGGATCTTTCAGTCGATAGGCCGACTCTCTATCCACTGAGCCAAACCAGCTAGGGTGGGTGATGAAAATTTTCTATGCCTTGTTAATTATATCTTAATAAAAAATTTTTTCAATACCTTGGTTGGGGTGATAGTTTCAAAGGTATAATTTCTCAAAACTTAGTAACTGTACACAGAAATGGGTACATTTTAGTGCATATTAATTATACCTTAACTAGAAGCCCTGCACGCGAAATCATGCGGCCCTTCCCACCCGTGCAGGTCTTTGGTCAATACAACGTTAGGGCCACAGTTTTGTTTTGTTTTGTTTTGTTAATCCTCACCCCTTTTATAATATAAATAAGGTAATTTTAAAAGTTAAGAAAAAAATCTGCCCTTAGACACAACATAATGAAATTGGAGAACACAGGAGACAAAAGAAAGAGCTGAAGAGCAGCTGAAGAGAAACAAGATCACCTGTAAAGGAACACGGGACACCCAAGTTCTCAGTGGTAACATTGGGAGCAAGAGACAGGCTAGCTCTTCAGACTGCTGGGTGCTGGCCTTAGTTGATGAAGTTGCGTTCCAGAATCAGAGAGGTGAGCAGAGTTCTGGCTGACAGCTGGCAGGAACTGCTCGAGGGAAGGCTGGGTAGCGGCCACGTGCCCGACCATGCCTCATCTCATTTCATAATCACCCTGAGGGCCATTGGCTTCTTTTTACAGATGAACAGTCTGAAGTAGAGGTGCCCACACTTGGTAGAGTTTGGGGCTCTCGAAGTTCACTGGAGAGTTCCGATTCAGTCGTGCCACAGTCCTGGCTGACCTGGGTGGATGTGGCGCTGGCTCTCCCTCCTGCCCTCGCACAATAGATTCCCCTGGACATCAGCCCCCCTCCGGGCTCGGAGAAGAACGGCTCCTCGCTCTCCTCTGTGTGAAAGAGCCTGGTGCCCCTGGGACACTTCGAGCTCAGTGCCTTCTCTTTGTAGTGGTTGAGACACACACAGCAGTAAAGACCCGCGTGCCCGTGTGATGGGCACGTCTCCATTGCTGGGGAGGGACCCTGTGCCACAGGAGTTCTGAGGGTATTGGTCTCCGTGTCCCGGGCCCCAGGCAGGGCATGTGCATACATGTCTCATTTATCTTCACAGTCACCCGAGCAGTATTACCCCACTTTGGATGAGTAAACAGTAATGAACCCAAAGTCGCACCATCATAATGACAGCCAGTCATTAGCAAAGCCAGGACGCGAACTGTGGTCTGTGAGTTAAGCGTCTGCCCCCTCTCTGTCACTTTTCCTGTTGACGGAGGGCCCTAAATCCATAAATCCGAGGAAGAAATGGTCCTTTTACTGAGACCTTGTGAACTGCTAGGCTAGGAGATTACTGAGTCACATCAGAACAGCGGAGCTAAGATGCTAACGTTCCCTCGAAGTCTGGTTGATACTCATTGTCCAGTCCTTGCAGCTTTCTGTCCTCCAGCTTCCTGGTCCTTTTACCAGAATGTCTGTGCAATCTTCCCCTAAGGTCTCTGGAAGAATCTATGAACGCTGACAAGGAAAATGCAGGTCCTGGGCAGGCTGAGCATGTGAGTCTGCAGGTAAGCCAGCAGCACCTGGGGGTTCCACTTCTCTATTTGCTCTGTAAATGCCTGTTGATGCAGCTGAATGGCAGGCACTTGGCTTAAAGCTACAGGGAACACAAAAAGGAACAAACCTGTCCCCTTGGTAAGGGAGACACCGCTCTGTATACAAATAATTACAACACTCTCTCCTCTGTCTGCTTGGAGAACTGCTCTGTACTTAGCTTGTACTTCACCCCCTGCGCTTCTCGCCCGTCCCTCGCGCTCGGGGCACCCCAGGAAGGGAAAGGACGCTGTGCTAAAGAGCCCGAGGTTCCGAGTTCCCCCTCTCCAGCCTGAGCCTGGCCGTGGGGCTCACACCCAGTTCTGTCCGGTGCCTGTGAAGTAGGTGCTCCAAGGGGGTGAGCTTGAGTGATGGGTAGGGTGACGCCATGATCTAGCCGAGGTGCCATGGTAGGCGGAGTGCGTGTCCTGCCACGGTGCCTCTTCGGGGGCGGGGGCTAGTGAGGTAGATTTCAGGTCAAAATAAGGACTTTGTAGCAACAACAAGCCAGGAGCGGAGAAACGCTGCCTGGGCTGTGCTGGGGGGTCTTGCTGGCCGTGGGGCGGAGCTCAGCAGGCCCGAGGGAGCGATGGCGGGTGACAGGTTCCTACCTGCACGGGCATCAGACCAGGCGACTCACGGTGATAGGATGGATTCTTTTTTTAAAGCATAATGTGTGTGTGTGTTTAAATATTTTTATTGATTTTTAAAGAAAGAGAGAGAGAAACATCAATGGGCTGCCTCCTGCACACCCCCTCGGGGATGGAGCCCGCAACCCTCGAATGTGCCCTGACCGGGAATCGAATCATGACCTCCTGGTTCATAAGTTGACATTGAACCACTGAGCCACACCGGCCCAGCAGGACTGGATTCTTTGTTTTGTTTTGTTTTGTTTTGTTAATCCTCACCCAAGGATATTTCTCCATTGATTTTTAGGGAGAGTGGAAGAGAGAGGGAAAGACAGAGAGAAACATCGATGTGAGAGAAACACATTGATTGGTTGCCTCCTGCACATGCCCTGACCAGAGTGCAGGCCGGGGAGGAGCCTTGACCGGAGTTGAACCCAAGACCCTTCAATCCGCAGGCCGACGCTCTATCCACTGAGCGACACCAGCCAGGCAGGACTGGATTCTTGATGGCACTTTCCCTGCCAGGAGATGGAGCCAGAGCACTGTGTCCTCCGTGCAGCCCCAATGGCCAGGTCGAGGGGACTCCGAGGTCACCTTAGACCCCAGAAGGCAGTGATGGGGGACATTTCTCTCTGGCCCCAGCGACTGTTTTAATCGTCTTGCTTTGTCGACAGCGGGAGTGAGACTGACTGTCTCTGTCTGAAGCACCGCCTCCCTCTGGCCTGTGCCGCTTCCCTGTCGTGCTCATCCTCAGTGTGACCTCCTGCTCAAGGCATTTTTTAAATGTATTTTTATTCATTTCAGAGAGAGGGATAGAGAGATAGAAACATCAACCATGAGAATCATTGATTGGCTGCCTCCTGCATGCCCCCTACTGGGGACCGAGCCCGCAACCCTGGCACGTGCCCTTGATCAGAATCGAACCCAGGACCCTTCAGTCCACAGGCCGACGCTCTATCCACTGAGCCACACCAGCCAGGGCGTCGAGGGCATTTTGATGCCTGAGAGGCAGCCAAGGTTGACCAGCAGAGGACCGTTCTCGGTTGTGTGTGGAGTGCCTTCAGCAGACTGTCCAGCACGCCCTACCCTGGGCCTGAGGGACTGTTCCACCCTCCCCTTCGTGCACCGACGCACCCTCGCCCCCTGGATCTGCTCTCGTTCCTGATGCTCTAAACCCAGCAGACCCCCTGCACTCAGGGCCCCAGAACGCAGGTTTACTTTACGCTGTCCTGAGAGCCACGGGGGCCCAGGCAGAGAAACTGCTGGGCGTCTGGCATGGCTGCCCCAGCAGGGGCCAAGGCTGGCCTGGCCACGCCAGGTGGTGGCGTAGAGCACCGGCTCAAAGCCTAGAGGCACTGACTGTGTGACCCACTTAAGGATGTGGCCCTGAATCTCCAAATTACAGACTGCTGTTCATGACAGTTACTGATGTGGCCGTCCCTGGGCTAATCATGCTAACGGAGTGTTTATTGCTCACCACGAGCCTGTTTAAACGTGAGGAGCTGGGCTAGTGAAGGTTCAGTGAGTGACAGCAAGTCGGGCAGAGTGGGCAGTGCAGCAGGCCCACGCCTCCTCCCTACCACCTGGGGCGGGGGGTGGCCGGGACCTGCTGTCATTGTGTGGTGGAACCCACTTTTCATGCGTCTGGTCCCTGAGGGAGGGAAGGCCAGGCCCCAGCACCACGGTCTCCCCCAGGAATGCGTCTCTGAGCAGCCACTTCCACAGCTCAGACCCCTCAGCCCGGTTCTGGGTCCTGGGCCTTCCCGCCTGCCTGGCCAGGAGCAGGCAGGATGGAGTCTACGTCACTTTGCACATGGCTCCCTGGTCTCTCCCCACTCGCCCCTCCTCTCAGGCACCCCCTTTCCTGATCCTAAGGTCCCCATGAGACGAGTGCCTGATCGCCTGTCTTCCTTTTTGGGAAGCCTGGTCATGGATTTGGCAGAGGACTTGGGGTGAGGTAACCGGCATTCACTCTGTGCTAATAACCCTCACAATCAAAGGCTGTCCCTCGGCTGCAGCCTGGTGACCAGCTAGTAGACAGCACAGAGCAGAAAGGCCAGAATCCAGGCACAGGGACCTTGCTCTCCTGCCCCCTGGTCCTGCCGGACCACTGGCCCTCGCTCTGAAGGCGGACACGGCCCTCTCCTGCTTTTGTCTCCATTGCAGGACCACGCTGGCCCAGCAGGGGTGAGAGAAGGAAGCAGGCGTGAGGACTGGGACGCCGGCCAGCTCACTGGCCCTTGGGGGGAACCACTATGTCCTGCCCAGCGGGTCAGGGCCACGTCTAAGTGGGAACGATTTCTTTTGCCACTTGGAAGCTCACATGTGGACACAGGGCCCCCGACACTCCTGCAGAGGGACCCCAGGCCAGCGGGGGCAGCACAGGCTGAGCAGGGGTCCCCCAGGGCTCAAACTGCGAAAGACGGGGGCCTCAGGACACCCAGTCCACTCCAGCTTCCTTGGGCCACACACACTCCTACATCTGGGCCCAGGAGGCCCTTCGGGGAGACCCCTGAGCAGTGGGGTACAGGCCCTCAGGCAGAGGGTGGGCCCTTGGTCCAAGGGGCACAGGAGCCCCAACCCGTGCGACTATGTGACCTCTTTAACACTGGTGAGGACTTTGATGATGTTCTGTGAGCTGAGACTAGTATGTTATTATGCAGATGTGTTAGGTACCTGAGCCCTCCTCCCCTAGACCTGTGTCCCTGAACAGGGTTCCCTGAGGGCTTTAATTAGGGCTGAGGATTTATGGGAACTAAGAACCGACAATAAACATGACTTTCAAACGGATCATCTCTTATTGCAACATCTTGGGTTAAAAGTGCTTACACCATTTAATTGCAGTTGGTTTACAGATATGCTAACAGAATGGCTACAAAGGATCCTCTTACTTTAAAAGCAGGCGACACATTTGGAAATGAGAGAACTAGAATGGCTGTGAAACGGGCAGTGCTCAGTGACCACCGGGGGTGCCTGCAGCCCCTCCTGTGCCCGCGAGAGGCCTGCCGACTGCCTGCCCTCCCATTCTGGCTGCGGGACAACCCCTTCCTTCTGACGCGATGCTGGCTGTTGCAGCTGAACTCTGAGTATATCAGGTTCTAGCAGAAAATCAGCTGCACATCAGTTACTATTAGTCATTTAAACAAAGAAAAAGCAGACGACCATGAGGCAAGATGGATTCTGGGCTGTTGGCGATACCCTGGCGGGCAGAGGGCAGGGAGATGAGGGGCCACCCTGGCTGCACGAAGCGGCACCGAGGGAAGCCGGGAAGCCCCCTTAGTCATTGTCACAACGCTGGGAACGCCCTCCTGTCCTTGTCCTGCTGCCCTAAACGGCTTCATGCATCCCACCCGGTTCTGAAAGAAAAATGCAGAGTAACTGGCCCTTAGAGGCGTGGGGTTCTAACAAGCTCAACACAACTGTGAGACAAGAAGGGGGTCAGATAGCAGGTGAGCACAGCTGTCACAAGGGCGGTGGATGCTTTGAGTACTGGATGGTGTCCAGGGCAGCCCCAATGTCGTAATTCTTGGTCTGTAGGAGCCTGGTGAGCCAGCCGCCTTCATCAGAGAACCCCATGGACAGCATCTGGGAGAGGGACTCAATGAGCCGGGGGTCAGCTTCTGCCAGAGAGAATAATAAAAGCCATGAGGGGGAGTTGCTGGGCCCCAAGTGTGACCCGTGGGCAGCAGCAGCTCCTCTATCCAGCAAGTCCCGGTGCCTGCAGGGCCGGGCCCTCCCAGGCTCTCTGGCCCTCAGGCACACTCCAGGCCAGGGATGGGCAAGCTTTTCAGCTGCTTTGCAGGCTATTGGTCTGTCACGACCACGCCATTCTGCCATTACATCATAAATGCCATTACATCATAAATGCCATTACATCACAAAAGCAGCCAGACACCACCTAAACAAGTGATTGCTGTGTTCACATAAACTTGTATTTATGGACACTGAAATGGGAATTTCATCTGATTTTCACAGGTCTTGACTTTTTAATGAGGGAGGGAAATAGACTAAAAGTGAGGCCTCCTCATTTTTTTTTAAGTAGAGTTCTAGACAGGAAAGGAGAGGAAAAAGCATCGATTAGCTGCCTCCTGCACGCCTCCCACCCGGGATTGGGCTGCAACCCAACCATGTGCCCTGACCAGAAGTGAACTGGCAACTTTTTGGTGCGTGGGATGGCACCCAACCAACTGAGCCACACTGATTTCAGAGAGGAAGGGAGAGGGGAGAGTTAGAAACATCAATGATGAGAGAGAATCATTGACTGGGCTGCCTCCTGCACGCCCCACACTGGGGATTGAGCCTGCAACCTGGGCATGTGCCCTTGACTGGAATCGGACCTGGGATCTCAGTCCACAGGCCATTGCTCTATCCACTGAGCAAAACCAGCCACGGCGAGGGCCACAGGTGTTAACTTCTTAGACAACTATTATAAAGGTGAGAAAATTGCCCTGGCCGGTGGCTCAGTGGATTGGAGCGTCATCCCATACATCAAAAAGGCTGCAGGTTTGAGTCCTGGTCAGGGCACATGCAGACCTAGCTTGCAGGTTCGAGCCCCAGGCTGGATGTGTACCGGAGGCAGCTGATGTTTCTCTCCCCCCACCCACCCCACTTCCTCTCCAAAAAATCATAAAAAAGGTGAGAATTTTTAAAAAATCATTCTTGGCCCATAGGCTGTAGTTTGTCTCCCTTGCTCTAGGCAGAGAAGATAGCCACCGGGGGCCCAAGGGCCACAGCTGGCCCCAGGGGTTTTCTCTTGAGTATCGTCTCGATAACACTGCATGTGACAGCGATGAACGCAGATATAGGCTGCCCCTACTCCGCGTGTGCTCTCAGCTACCAGGTCCCCCCCACCCCCCGCCTGCGGCTCCCCGCCTGCTCCCACAGGAGCCTTGGCTGGGCCCTGTTAGGCCGCACTCTCCATGAGGAAGCAGAGTCCAAAGCCAGGACCAGGACCGCCGCTACAGAACCTCGGGTCCAGATGTTACGTTTCAGAAGTTACTAAAATCAGCTGCGCTTACGAGGGGCTCAGTATAGACACAGAGGACAAAACCAACTAATTTCCTCTCGTGTCAACAGACAAGCCCACAGCAGAGAACAGGATGTCTTTGTGTTGCTCAGACAGCTGATAGGATCTCTGAATAAAGAGGCAGAACACAAAACTGCCTGCAGTCACTTGCCTGGCGGCAGGTGTGGGTACACCGCAGCTTCCTTCAGCCCCGTGGGTCCCTCCTGGGAAGGGTCCAGAGAGCTTGGCCCTTCGGACTCGGGCATCTGTAGAGACTGGAGTTCGCCTGTCGACGGGTCCACTTCCTTTGAAGATAAATGAGTCCAGTCATCGTCTCCTCCCGAGCAGTTGTCAGACTCCATCTGCTCCTGGAACAAAACCCCATGAGCACAGGCCCTCGCAGCCGCCCCGGCCACAGCCTCAGCCCCTGGGGGTGCGTGGGGAAGACAGACTGGCAAGCAGCTACGAGTGTGTTTCTTTACCAAGTTCTAGTGAAGGGGCCAGAGAACGACTGAGGTGCCACACACTTAACTCTGCACCGGAACTGGGTCCTGGC